CGATTGCTATTAGGTTGGAGGCCATCGCTATTAGGTTGGAGGCCATCACTATTAGGTTGGAGGCCATGTAAATGAATTACAGATTAAAGCTCCTAGTAGCGATGCCCTTTGCTCCTTGTAGCTTCTTGCTCCTAGTAGTATGGCCAGGAGCCCCTAGTAGCTTCTTACTCCTGAATCACATCATTTATATACGTTAAGTTTTGTATGACTTGTATGACCCTTTATGACCTGCACATTCTCAAGCTGTAGATATCCCAAGTCCGATGGACTTTCTTAAGTGTTCCAGCCTCATGGACTTTCAGCTTCCCATTCCTTGGCTTTTCTGGCTGCATCAGAGTGAATATCTGCTGGTTCTTCTACCAGTCGCCCCTCAAGGCTCTTGAAGCATGGACTTGGTACGCAAAGTATCCCAAAGTCATTATCAGCGAGGCTGCAGCCCCAGCAACATCTTATCAATCAGCTTGCCCCTCACCCTCTCTGACTGTGGCCCGAATCAAATCCACGAAACACGTGTGGGATCTTCAGGAGGAAGAGAAAAGCATCCGCAAATACCCTGGTCCTCGCTCTGGAACGAACACCCTATAAAAGCTTTTTCGCCCTCGCCTCGACTGCTTTGTTTTGGCTGGCCTAGATCTTCGCTTCGAGGCTACCTCCACATAATTCTACAGGCAAAGGCTCGGGACTCCATTGGAGGAGGTCTGCGACATAGTGCGTATCATGGGCTGCATGGACGGTTGCAGATTTCCAAGTCGCTCCGAGTGCAACCCCATGTGCCTCTGCGGAGAAGGGGTCAAGGTACAAATGAGTTGGTTTGAATTTTTCCCGATTGTCAAGACATGTCTGGAAAAAAAACTCCCCATTTGACTCCTAATTGACGGTCCGAACAAAATGGTTGGAAAGCGCACACGTATGAGCTCCAACCTTTGGGGATCTCCCAGTTTGCAAAGTTCCACCAGGGCTTCGCTCATGTGGTGCAAAAGTCCTCGGTGAGTGACGCTTCTCTTGCGCACTCAGGTGGTCAAGATGGGTCAGTCGACTTGTGTCAGAATGTCCTCTGAGGCCCTCTGGAGGCCCTCTACTACGAGCCTCGGTGATCGCCCCCAATTACATTGATTTTAATGGTAAAAAGCTAATGAATTCTTGCTTCTAATAGCTTCTTGTTCCTAGTAGCGATGCCAGGAGCCCCTAGTAGCGTCCTTGTTCCTAGTAGTGAGGCCCGGAGCTCCTAATAGCTTCTTGTTCCTAGTAGCGATGCCAGGAGCCAGTAGTAGCGTCCTTGTTCCTAGTAGTGAGGCCAGGAGCTCCTAGTAGC